TAAAATGGACTCAGGACAAGGTGCGTTCCTATAAGTCTTCCAACCAATATGACCAAGTTGCGAAAACAAGAACAAACAACTTCTATTCTACACTTAGTTGATTGCATTCGATTTATATGCATCAATTAGATATAATTGATTAATTAATAAATTCATGTATATACTTGATTTACCTATTTTTTGCCCATACGAATTATAAATACTTATATTTATCTGTATTTTCCCATATATTTGTTTGAATAGGTATTCAAATTTATCGTATTCTATTTTTATTCCTCCCTTTCATGTTTTCCTATGAATATGCATCCTATAGCACCTGCTGCTATTTTTACTTTGCCACTTGATCTCATGCACTATTTTCCTAAACTTTTGCTCAGTGTTTTACCTTATGTACACATGTATGCTATCGAAATTCTCATCTTGAGCTTTATGGTTCTTCTAATATATATTTATCTAATTATTTGGCCTGACTATCTACCTATTAACGTATTTATTCCTGTATTTCAGAATCAATCTTTAGTTTTTCATACTTATTATATTTTAATCCCTTTATATATTTTTTTTATTAATTTTAATAAGAAATATTCCCCAGTCCTTATTCATTTGTTCATTTCTTTGCTCATCCTTTTTTCCCTTATTCCTCACTTCTTACGTTCATTTTCTTTTATACCTTATATTTTACACCCTTTTCTCGATTAGGCCAATATTACTAACATCTTTTGAATTGAAAACTCCTATAACTCACTTCTTTGAGTACTAGAATTTTGATACTATTTTTATTTTGCTGTAGCCTTGGTCGGTAATGACCATCTGAGTCCGTCAATCGAGAATCTTGGCAGTTATGAGTCAAAATCAAGAAACCACGATTCACCATCTTCTTTGCTTAAGTTCACTTCATCGTCTGATAACAATGATGCACTTGCCTTCGTCACCAACTCTGGAGTGCCATTAATGTCCCATTCTCATGATCACCACTACCACCATCGACGTCTCCACCATTCTATTCAACAAGGGCGGCAACAAAAGCAAGTTAAACAAAAACAAATCATTTTAAACTCTTCCGTTCCTGGATCCGCTAGCTCACTCGAGCGGTCCAAGCTCGATGTACAATCAGACGAACCAATCCTTTCGGATGAGAAGAGACGAAGAAATTTAGAAATTGAGTTCAAAAACAAATATAATTATACAAGACGTATACGCTTGCAAGTTAACAGTGAAGAACATGGTTTCACCGGCGAAGACCAAGAAGATGAAATTTTTTGGATAGGGAAAACCAAAGACCAAAGCCCAAAGGAAGGGGAAATGTGTAAAGGTAAAGAAAATGAGAAAAACGGAAA